GCGCTTGGAATAGCAGGATTTCCCATCGAGCTCACTTTGAATCCTTCTGCAATTAAGTAGGTTCCAGCAGTTCCATTTCATGAGACTTCGAAAAGTCACTTGAATGAAGAGATAAAGATATTTGTCACCCCAAATCAATATTTCGAAGCAAAATTCAGAGAAATATTCACAAGAATGAAAATTCAGCACAGCTCAGGCGCAGAATCAAAGAGATGGCTTGCTGGGCGGAATATGAGCTACTGGCCTCAACAACTCAACTTTGCTGTGTGGTGTGCTACTTCAGGCTGTGGAATCTCTCGTGAACTACTTGACATGGTTCCAGAACAGATCAAGTTGTTTCTGCAGTTTCACATTTATTTCACAATCAGAAGAATTCTCTTAGAGATGCGTGGAATACAGAGTGAATCAGCTCTCCCGGGCGATTCAACTTTCAGTCAGATGAATAACAACTACGATCAGCTGTCGTTCAAAAGATTGTGTTCAGAATTTGGAATTTCATCGAGCACAGACTTCCGCTTCAAAGAAGGAGGCAGTCACGGTCTCGGATCTGTTTTCATTTATGTCACAAATACTGGACCTATGGCAACAACAATCCCATATCCTGGTGACAACAAGTTCAGCGATGAAGGTGGAAAAGCTCTAAAAGGCAATCTGATATATTTCATAAGGAATGACAATGAAAAAGTTGAAAAGCAGTTTGAGTTTTTCATGACAGATAAGTCAGAAGGCTTGACGAAAGCTGGGATGGCGAGATTGAATCAGTCGATTGAGGCACTTGTTTATTGTATTCTTGGTTCACAAGTCAATGTTAGATCATCCATCTTGGGTTTATCAGGGAGTATGAGAGAGGCTCAGCGTGAGTTCCTTGTTTTAGTTGAGGATGCGATCAGAATGATAGACATCTCAAAGAGCATACAGAGGTTTCAGCTTGCAATTGATGAAGCAAAAGTCAGACTTGATCTTGCAATCTCACCAGGTAATTGGCTGATGCCTTCAAATCTTCTTCTGAACACACAGAGCACAGTTGGGTATAATAACAAGCTGAAGAAGGCAAGTTCTGACATGAAGTTTGGGGTCAATAAATCAGTGAATTTGGAGATGAAATCAGTCGGAGTTAGCATATGAATGGGGGCTTATCGATAATCAAGAGACCTACTTCTCAAAAGGCTTCAACTGAGGTTCAGTCTGAGACCACGAAGACAAGCGTGAGCAAGAGCGACAGCGATACAAATCATGATAAAATTAAGGTTGGATTGATTTCAGTTGGACTGGTCTCAGCCTTCCTGATTCATCGCCTTTTGTTTTGAAATCACTCAACCATGAGTATGGCAACACCCATTATCAGAACCCAAGCATTTTGTCCGAGAAAGCTGTTCACTGAGCCAGCAGCTCTAAAAACGAAGCCGACTATTGAACCAATGAGACCTGGTAAAATTCCAGCGAATTTTTTTCCAAGAGTCTTCAGCCCGTTCCCCACCCCTTTTGCAACAGTCTTCAAGCCTTTTGTCAATGTGCTCACAATCACTCCAATCGTTGTCCCAACTGCCAAAACAACAGCAGAGACCGTAAAACCATACTTCTTGAAGATGTTTCTAACTCTCTCACGGAGTGATAATCTTTCTTCTTGTCTCTCTCTTTCATTCTCAAGGGCATCAATCTGCTCTTGATTTTCTGCTATTCTTTCTCTTGCTCGTTCTCTTATAGCAGGGTTTTCATTTTCATCGTTAGCAATATCTCGATCATCTTGAATTGACTCCTGTAGCTTCTCAATTTCTTTATCTTTCTGTGCAATCAAAACCTCTCGCTCTGGACCAGGTGTTTTTTAATTTCTTTTGAGAGACTTGGATTTAACCTCTGCTCATTTGTGCCTCTTTCTTCAGTAAACAAAGGAAATGTCTTCTTGCCTTGACCAAACATCTTCACCTGCAACCTTCCTTTCTTGCTATAAGAAACTTCAAGTTCTGAAGCTTTTACCTCAGGAAAAATTGTAGTAAGTGTTTCCCATGCATTCTCATTTGAAGTTAAAACTCGCGAACCAAAAATATCACCTTCAGTAAAAGATGTCTCAGCAGTTTTTGAGCTCTTTTCTTGTTCTCTTTTCATTGTCGTCATTGGAATTTCTTCGCCTGAGGGCCCTGGAGTTGAATTCTCGTCTGGTTGAAAAGGTGTTGTTGTGTCTCCTTCATCTGCTCCCGCCTCACTTCGTTCATCATCATCATCATCATCATCATCATTATGTTCTAACAGAGGATCAGTGTCTCCAAAATCTGCCAATTTTTTTAAAATATCTTTTATAAAAAATGGAAGTCAGTGAAAGAATTGGCCCGAGTTTTGAAAAAAAGATGTCAAAAGCTCTCAAGGCAGAGCATGTGATTCACAGAGTAACATTTAACCCGAATAGTGCTTCCCCTGGTGAAGTCCTTAGGGTTCCAGTTCCAAAACTTGATAATGGGGTAGTACTTGTGCCTGGATCGCTTGCACTCATCTTCAACTTGACAGTCAGTGGGCATGCAAACAATTTCTTCCTGAACAATGTAGCAAGAGCTCTTGTCGATCAACTGACTTTGAAGTTTGCAGGAGAAATTGTGCAAGACACTGATGGTTATAATTTATTCAAGCTTTAGGAGGACCTCGTCTTGACTGAGAATGAGAGAGCAAACATGTTCAGAGAAGGTATTCAGTCCGAAGATCTTTCGAAAATCAGATGCAATGCTGGAGATTAGAAGACTTCGGGCGTTGATAAAGAAAATAAGCTCAATGTAGTTTATGGGAAAATGTACAGGATTCCATTGGATCATGATATTTTGAAGGATCATGGAGTCTTTTTTCCGAGAGCTCTTTCTGATGAGCTTCTCTTCGAGCTCAGGCTTGCACCTGCTGGTAGTGTTGTGAAGGGATCCGACCCAACAAAACTTTCTTATCAATTGACTGACATCCAGCTTGAGTATGAAGTCATTCACAGCCAAAAACTCGCTGATGAAGCCCTTTCTAACTACAAAAATGGAAAGAGATTCATGTACGAGCATATCACTCATCTCAAGACAATCTCAATAGATAAAGGTTCCAACACAATCATCAATGAGAGCATCAATGTTCCAAGGAGGTCTACAAAGGGACTTCTTCTTCTCTTTGATGAGACATACACAGCAGGAACAAGAAATAGTGAAAAGACATTTAATCCCAACATCACTGGTGTTAAGCTGACTGTTGATGGTATTCCAAATGAGATTTACAGCCAAGGAATGAAGGCAAGAGATATGTGGGAAGAAGTCTTTACAATATTTGGGAAGGAGAACAGCTCGATGAATGCAACAGACTTTTATGCTGGAGACAGATTCGGTCTCTTCATCGATCTTAGAAGCATGAGAGACAATGATCTTCATGGTTCAGGATTGAGATTGGTGAATACAAAAGATGGAGTTCATCTTGCAATTAACAGGAAAGGATCGGGTTCAAGAAATGTTAAATGTCACATCTTCATTCTTTCTGATGCTCAGCTCAACATCGTCAACAGAGAGCTTGAAAGTGTGACATATTAACAACGCAATGATGAGTTTTTTCTGAGAAATTGTCATTAGTTTTTTCTGATGGTTCAAATGCATTTTGAGATTGTCTTGAGAATCAATGTAATCTCAAAATTCTTCAATTTTGCTTTGATTTTTGAAAGAAAAAAATGCGCCAATCATTTTGCCTTAAAATCATCGTTGTTCATTTTTTAATGAGATAAAAAATTAAAATCATTTTTCAAAATGTCCTTCAAAACACTGTTGTTTTGGCACATTAAATTGCCTTGTTTTTAAGGCCATTGAATTTTTTTCAAAACTGCCCTGTTTTTCAGGCAATTTTGAAAAAATGTGCCAGAAACCCCCTTTTCCTACTACTTAATTTGTAAGCATTAGATAAGCATGAAGATCTTTTTTGTTGTAAATCTTCAGTTGATAAATTAAGTCTTATTATTTTGCTTTCCAGGGAATCTTCATAAATGGCTCTTTGCCCCTCGTGGCTGTGCTATTCTATGGGTGAGTCCTAAATTCCATGATGTCATTATCCCTCAAGTTGTATCATGGTGCCATGACAAAAGTCTTCAAGACAGGTTCTTTCAACAGGGCACTATAGACCACACTTCTTATACTTCAGCTGCTGCTGCTGTAAAGTTCTACAAAGAAGTTGGTGGCATGGTGAGTACACTATCTCTGCGCAATTGGAAAATAAGAGGCCAATAATTCAGGGTGACTGAATGAGGAAGAGGGCTATTGTATGAATCAAAGTAACATGATTGGTCGGAAGTAATTTGATAAGACGAAAACACCTTGAAACCCCCAAGAGGTTATTTTGGGGCTTTTCTCGTGTACATTTTAACCCCTGACAATTTTAAATTCCTTTACAATCTTTATGTTATCAACAAATGTTGTAGAAATTAGCAAATTCAGGTATCAGGTTTTTGTGCTACTGTTTTGTTTTTTCACTTTTAAGTCTCATTATGCGATGGGAAAATTTACTTTTAAGTCATTTGCTCACAAGAGTGGATTCTTTACCTTAAAAACACCTCTATACTTACAAATTAGGAAATGTATTCTGCTGGTTCAAATTCCCCACCCATTCAGGCAAGGTTCAAATTCTCCACCCTAGGGCACAGAAAATAGTCAAAAGCCCATCTGTTGGCCAAGGGGAAGGGGGGGGGAGGATGTTGAAGCTTTGAATTGATGCATGCGTGCATTACAATTATGAAATGTGTGGCAGTAGATAAGAGAATAACTACTCAATAATAATCTTGACAGTTGATAGCTAAGTAGAGGTGTAATTTTTGTTGTAACCAGGGTGCAATCACAAAGTACAACAGCCAGCTTGCATGCTGGGCAGCAACAATGCTTGCTGAAACTTGGGACACAGAGGTTCTTCCCATTCCCGAGTCAATGCGTGCTCCATTTATGGCCGTCATCCGCCTCCCAGGGGAGCTGTCTGCAGCCTATGGAGCCACAATGGAAGGAGCAGAGAAGATGATGTCTGATGTATACTACAAGTACAATGTTATTGCTTGTTTTGTCAGTATTCAGGCATCTTTGTGGTGTCGAGTGTCAGTTCAAGTGTATAATGTAAAGGAGGATTACATGCAGCTTGGTGAAGTGGTCCTTCAGTTGAAAGAGGAATGTGCTAATGGTTTTTGCCCAGAAGTGGAAAAGGCTGCTGAGCCTAACAGATGGTCATGGTGTGAAGACCCACATTAAAGTTTCTTGATATGAGAAGTGTTCAGTTGAAAAGGAACACTGAGGCATGAGACACAGAATTTACTGTCACTGTTACAGTAATGCTTAAAGCAAGGTCTTGGACTCTTCCATTTAGTTATTTGCTGCTCCATTACATACACACAAAAATATATTTATCTGGTTTTTTTTTTGTTTTTTTTTAATTGATTTTTGAGTTTGTTTGGATGAACAGGCTCTAGATGGTAGATTGAGAAGAACTTTCTAATAAACTTCATATGATCTGAAAAGGACAAGAAACAGATGAGCCAAAACATCTTCTGATTATAAAACACAGAAGTTACAATTATTGTCCAAGAAACAACTTTATTTATTTATAATTCTCAAACCAAGGGCAAAGTTTGATTTGTGTACATTTCAGGCTTGCAATTGAAATGAAGACATTTTCAAGTTTCAGTTTCAATTGTAATCTCAAAATTACCTGAAGTTAAAATGTGTATCACATGCACAAAACCTAGTTTGGTTATTTTATCATTCAGATTCCATAATCTGGTGCTGGGCATGAAGTTTTAACGAACAATAAAACTTGAAAAATTGTGTACTTCCCCCTTGTGGTTTTCTTCATGCTGTGATTTAAGAAAACTGTTTGATTCTAGGAACAGATAATGCCTGTGGGCAAAAGTTTGTGCACATTTTTGTGCGAGATGGAGACTATTGGTTCTGAATACATATACTCACAGTATTATACTAACCCGCGTTTTAACTAATTCTCACTGGTGATCTATTGGATAACAGGTACAGAGATGACATCACCGTTAAAAAGATTTTCCTTTTTATTATACGAAACAAGTAGATTCCATGTTGTCATTCATCTGTTCAGTAATAGATCACTATTTCTGACCAATTACAATACTCATTAAATGTATATCAATTTGGTTGCTCTGTTTCACTTTTTCTGATAGAGAACAGCTTAAAAAAGAGCACTAAATCCTTTTTGACATCTCAAAAACAACTGAATTTTGGTTAATTATTGTTAGTGTTATTACGCAACCACAATCTAGCACGATCAAGTTTCGTTCATTGCACGTGTTTATCTCGCCAGTGCTAGTTGTCGCTTTCGTTAGCCTCTTCGTTGTATCCTTATTTTTGATTCCCTCCCCCGCGTCCCAGGGGGATTTTAGTATTCTACAATTAAATGAAATTTTTCTGGTCCAAACGTGTGTCTCATCTTTATAATATTGTAATGTTTAGAGAATAATTTAGAGGTTTGATTCCAAAATCAAAATTACAAAAAAAAATTGAAAAAAGTCACGGTAGGTATTGCCTGAGAGATTCGGTGCCCTAACCAGGAGACCGTGAGATTTGATGAAAAACTTGGAGACTCCCGCAAAAACTGGGAGAGTTGGCAGGTATGAACACTTGGCTGCCTCTTGTGTGTCACATTTTTTGTTCTTAACACATTTTTTTTATGTCATCTTTGATCTGCTACTGAGCAGATGCACGGCAACTTGGAATCAGCCCACATGACCAATTATCATCCATTGAAAATCAAATTTAGACAAAAAGGAAACAATACTTTTGGGAGAATGTTATTAATTTGAATTTTTGCGTAACACCTACTGTTTCAACCAAATTTTTCAATCCCTTTGTGCACTTCTGTCTTGCACATAAGAGACTGGTACCCCAAATGAGCACCGGTTTGTGCACCCCACCCTGAACCCCAACCCCTTTCTTCGAAAAAAAATGAATGAAAGAAAAGAAAAAAATTTCCTTTTAAAAATGAAGTTTTATCTTAGATCATATCATTACCCTCTGCGAATTTTACATCTAGCATTTATATAATTCACACCAAATTTCTCTTTTCCGCGATTTAATCTTTTTTTTTTTATCAAAATTGATCTTTTCTGGCAATTGTCCATCCTCATATGATGATAAGAGGCAAACGTTAGAGATAAACTGACAGACTATTTCAAAGTGATCGAATGATTTGTTTGACTGAATAAGCGATGCTAGGGTCAACCAGCAAAAGGACAAGTGAAATCAATCAATCAACCAAGCGCTTTATTGTATAAAAAGAAAAAGCATTCCTTTACACCATACAATTTGATTTTTTAAAAATGTTCCCATCACCAAATTTTACTTTTGTTGAAGTCGCTTCTTGGTATTCCTGCGTTAGCAGCTTAAGCGAGCCTTTTACACACCAGGCCAATAGGCACGCGAGATGACACCGCACAAGGCAGGTCGTTCCAGTAACCGTTTGCTCTGATCGGCAGAAAGGATGTGTGCCTGGTCCACATGTTACTGCAGGGTTCCCGGGATTTTCCATTTGGTTCCTTGGGAGCCCAGGCCTTGTAGACTGGAACTGAGTAATCACTCCAGTAGAAGTCTTTAGCGGTCCACATCAGGCCGATCCACACTTGTTTCCTTGTTCGTGCAAACCTCCTCGCGAGAGCCAGAACGAACTCGTTTTCCCGCGCATTGGTAATCTTTACCAGGTCTCCTCCCCTTCTTTTACAATAATTTTGGGCCTGGTGCCAAGTCATGGAAGTGCTTCTTGCAAGATAGCAAAAGCTTTCGAACTTCTTCCATCCCCAAGGGCAATACGCTGGGGAAACAAAGTCAGATTTATGAACAATTGTGAAGAATAGTGCGGTTCTGATGTTGATAATAGTCCAGCTGGACCTTTTCTGAGGGAGACGCATGCAATTGAACTTCTTTGGATGGATTAATTCAGAAAACTCGAAATGACCACTAAAGACGTTTTCATTTGTTCAAGTTTCATTGCTGGTAGCATTATCAAGCTTATGAAATCTGAGAAATTTCTTAGGTTAAGTCACACACATTTTTCAATCGGCCGAGAAAAGATGAATATTGGGTCAGGTCTGTGCTTATTTATCTGTGTACCTGATACACTTCCTGAGGCAAACAGTACAACGATACAAAGCGGAAGAATCGCTTGAATCTTCATCTCGGTTCCTGTCAGTGGTGATTGCGGTGAAAAGACGAACTCTTTCAGGAATTGATGTCACCCTCGATAACACAATCGGTATGAGATGGGAAATTGGCTCACGGAATCATATGCCTTCATATCAACAAGTTAAAACAAGAACTAAGTGGAGGAATAATTAATTCAGTGTGTTTGGTAAACAAGGTAGGTCTGCCTAAAAATTTTACAAAACTTGACCAAGATCTAATAGTAGGCTGGATATTCTTAATGTGTGGCTGAATAAAACGAGAAAAAGTATCAATTGGAATGTTTTCCGCCGTTTTTTGAAGTCATCAATTCTTGCCTTGCCTTTTTTACCACAACATACCGCATTTCTTACGTTTTTCGGGCAATAACTTGTGTTGAATTAATAATCCATTTTGAGAAACTCAATTTTACGCCAGGTGCACTGTGATATTCAACTGCACTGGTCCATAGAAAAAAATTTGAAGCACTCATGCTACACTTAAGGTCATACGAACAGCGAAAGAAAACAGACGACTTATGTGAATTACGTTTCTATAACCGGCATCTTGTGAACAGAATTCTAATAAAGTTGATAGCTCTAAACAATATATTTTCCGCAAGGGCGGTTTTTGAAATGAACTCAGTCACCCAAAACCGAAAACCAACGATTCAAAACCGAAGAGTTCAATCTTAAAAAAATGGATAAAATCTAGAACTGTTTACACTATCATACAGGAAAACATCTTAAAACGCTCTTTTTGAATGACTGTAAGAAAGCGATAACAATAAGGCCATACCCCTAAGGGAAGTGTCTGCCCGCCGCAAAGCGGCAAGACAAAGGTCCCGTGTCTACTTTTTTCTATATTAAAAGAAGCAAGATTGATGAGATCATAGTCCCCTCCGCTAACTATGATGGGATCTTCGGTTTGTAGAAATTACCCCATTAAAGTACAAAACGAAGACCATCGTAAATCGCTTAGTCTGGTCGAAAACACATCATTAAAGGGTATAGTTTATGTTAATAGCTTTAACAGATAAGAAAATGTTTATTGTACTCTCCTTAAAATAGCACGGTTATGCCACGCTCTAAGTTTTTACCTAAATAAGAAAGATTTTGTTGATAACTAAGTATATGTGCCTTGCTTTCTGTTTAGACTGTCCACTGTTTAAGTTATAGCTGTCATAACTCTTGAAAGTTTGAATCATGTCATCAACTTTCCACTTAGTTGTCAGCCAGATGTCTTAGTATGTATTTCAGGACCCGTCTTGGTCAGCTTCAATTCTGCTACATAATCACTTAATGGTAAATACTCCTCACGACGGCGACAAAAATGTGGCCTAAACGTAGATTTAATGCTTTAAGCCAATATTTTCCACATATTAGGTAACGAATAATTTCAAGAAAAAGACTAAGGCCTATTTTCAGTTCTAGACGCGATTATGGAAGTTCAATTTTCCTTATTAATCAGTGTTTTGAACTGTCTTTGAAAACTTTATGCACATAGACAACGCATAATTTAACTCACCAAGATAATTTTGCTGGAAGATAGAATTTCATCTGTCCAGTAGACGTATTTCTTGTATTTCGTTGTCCTTTCAGAAAACTTGGAAAGTATCAGACGAGGAGCGGCTTCACACATCATGTTGTGTGTTACCAAAAACATTGTCTCGGCACACGCGTCCACGTTATATTTGCAAACCAACGGAATTCGTAATAACAATAGAATTGTTTAGTGATTCGCCTTATTGATCATGATCGTTCTCAGTTTCCAATTAACGTCGTGATTCAAAAATCTAAAACGAAAGTTTTCTCATCCACGAGCACCTCACTTGAAGAGCGGCCATGTCCTTTTATTGGCAGGTTTTTCTTTTTTTTCCTCAAATTATTCTCAGATTGAGGTTCTTCCACGCATATTAATTAAAATTACTGTCAGTGAAGAACTGGCATGTATGTACGTCACTTTTGGGAGGACATTAGGCATAACCTAACTTCCAAAGAGCCAAATTCACCAAAGCAATTTACTGATTATCTACCAAAGTTAAACTTTGCTAGTTCATTCTTTTTTAACCCTGTATCTCCTTCCGGTTCTGAAATTGACTCTGAAATAATGAGTCACCATTTCAACTAAACATGGCACACAGGCTGTATTCATTTCCCTGCCACTCGCATTTTAAGATCGGCTAAATAAAATATATAGATTTAGCCAAGCCTAAAAGCGGAGCTCTAAGTTCGTAATATTAATGATAACATAAGAAATGTGCATTTGCCAAGACTCACCTGAGACACCCCTCCCTTCGTTTTGATAGTCTGCCCTACCCTACCCGTGCAATCTGAAGGCACGTATGTACGCACGCTCGGTCAGTCACGTGACAACCAAACGAAAAGAGGTTGACCATATTCCATGGGTATGGGGCTCTGCCTAACGCGCGCTTCGCGCGCGTGGGAGCCCCGCTATAATTAGCCAACCCCTCTCTATGCTCATCAATAAATCAACTGAATTTGGAGCCTATCCCTCTAAATTAAAGCTTGCCAAAGTAACTCCAATTTACAAAAGTGGTGATAAATCTGACCCTTCCACCTATAGACCCATATCGCTTCTCTCCATCTTTGACCGTATCTTCGAGAAGATGATGATAATCGCCTCAAGCCATTTATTGAGAAGTTCAATATTCTCCATCATGAGGATTCACAATATGGTTAATGAAATTGGAACTAGCATAGATAAAAAGTTGTACTCATGTGGTGTGTTTGTTGACTTGCAAAAAGCCTTTGGCACAGTTAATCATTCAATATTATTAAGAAAATTGAGTCATCATGGAGTACGTGGAATAGTTCATGATTGGTTTGCATCATGCCCAGTGGGTCGTCAACAAACAACACAAATTGGTCCTAAAAACATATCCAAAAAAAAGTAGTGTTATCAGGTGTCCCACAGGGATTGGTCCTAGGACCCTTACTATTCCTTATTTATATAAATGATCTATCCAACAGCATTGATAAATTAAAGTTCTATTTATTTGCTGATGATAACAATTTGTTATCTGCTGACAAAAACCTCAAATCGCTTGAATCTATAGCTAATGCAGAAAGTTTTTTAGGATTTATAACTGGCTGATCGCAAATAGATCATCACTAAATATAAAGAAATCTAACTTTGTCATTTCAGTCTAAGACAAAAAAGTTAAATCACTAAGTCAACTTGAAAGTACTTGACCATTATAATAACTCGTACATTTCTTTAGAATGCAAAAATTATGTCAGATATCTAGGTGTGTTTATTGATGAAAATCTTTCCACATTAGGCCGATCCACGCTTGTTTTCTCGTTGGTGCAAACCTCCTCGCGAGGGCCAGAACGAACTCGCTTTCCCGAGCGAGCAACGTATTGACTTGGCACCAGGCCCAAAACTTTTGTAAAAGAAGGGAGGAGACCTGGTAAAGATTACCGAAGCGCGGGAAAACACTCGTTGCTCGCATAATAGCACAGGGGGCCCATAAGATCTGTTTGTGTAGCCGACCGTTGTTTTATAGTGAATGTACCAGATTTACTGTTTGGCTCACCTAGAGTGATATATTGCTGACTATGGTCATAAATAATTGATAAATAAACGTTGAATTACTTTACCTGTGGTGCATAGTCGTCCTTTTGCCTCAAAATTGTTTTTTTTTGGGCGATTTTGAATAAGTCTGATTCCGTTGTTAACTGCATTACAGAAAGACAAGGGTAGAAGCCTTGTTTTGAAAGGGTTCAAGCGCCCGAGCGATTTTGACCCCGAAAATCGCATCGCTCCGCTTTCAAACTTCGCAGCATTAAGGTCAAAAGATGCACAATTCTCCTTGTACCCTCCAATCGAAAATCCATCCAAACGGACCGGAGCTAGCCCTCGAAGAAAATCAAAATCCCACAGTATTTTAGCGTCTGGGATGCGTAGCAAGATTCTCATGTGCCAGCCAGAAACCGTCACGTTTATTGCCCTTTTCTGATTGGACGACGTTATGCATTGGACGCCAATGAATTAACAGGGAAACAGATTGTTTAGTATTCAAATATTCTAATCCCGGCTGATCGGATAAAAGACTTTGAATAGACTCTGTTCGCGTGACGTCATAGAAATGTTCGAAAACGAGGCGCCGCCATGTTAGAGGAGTGATTCTTGAGATGGCGGTCGGTGAATTGGGAAAATATGCGTCTTCGAACAAAGCGATTGTGGATTCCAAGCTTATATTTCCCGCTTATGACAATTCACTGGAAGGCAGTATTAAGAAAAGTTATGTCAAAAAGATCTCAGTGATCGGCATGGATCATCTGCTCGTTTCGGTGCAGAAATATACTTCGGAATGCCTTCGTCCTGTCGAAGCTTGTGATATTTTGTCATATCTTGTGCTCGAGACCAGCTTCTACACTAAGGATCAATTCAAGGATTTGCGAAGCCTATTTGCCTACAATGAAATGGTTTCTGGTGTTGTTACAAGTGTTCTTGGCCAAATAATCCAAGATAAATTTGTTGTTCTCGCTAAGTAAGGCATTCGCAAAGGATGAATGACCCCCACGTGCAGCTCTGGATCATAACAACCACAGAAGGAACTGTTGTTTCAGCGCATTGTGCTGGATGTATGGCTGGGCTGGGAAAATGCTGTTCTCATATCGCGAGTGTTCTTTTTTATCTGGAGGTCTGGACAAGATTGAATGGAAAACTTGCATACACACAGGTAAAATGAACGTGGCTTTTACCTTCTGCAGTAAAACAAGTAGAGTATGCGAGAGTGACGAATATTAATTTTGCGTCGGCCAAGAAACTAAAGAGTGAACTTGAGAAATCAATAGAATCTGTCAATTTCTCGAACAGTGAATCAAGTTCTGCAGCTCTTATTCGCTCTCCAGGCTCATTCACCTTTACAGCTTTCCTTTGCATAACTTCCTGCTCCCCACGTTCCCTTTCGCGTTTTCTCCACTTGGTAATCCTTTGTGCTCTTTCTTGTTGTTGTTGTTCTTTCCTCTCGTCGGATTCCTTTAGCTTGCAATTGCCGTGCCCCAGATACAATCTAGGAACCCAGTCTGGGTTTAATCGATCTCATAATTGAGTTGCTTTTCCCGAATGAAAGTGGATACCGCAAAC